CTGACGCACTCGCCCGAGCACAGGAGGCCCTCGGTGGCGCACCGTAATGCCCGTCTGACCGTTCACGCTCGTCTGCTGCTCGTGCAGCGGTGCCACGCCGGCTGGGAGCAGGCTCGGGTGGCTGAACAGCTCGGCGTGTCGCGCGGCACGGTCAGCAAGTGGCTGGCTCGCTACGAGGCCGAAGGCCCGGCCGGGCTCGAGGATCGCCCTTCGCGTCCGCATCGCCTGGCCAACCAGACTGCGCCGCAGGTCGAGGCCCAGGTCCTCGAGCTGCGCCGGGATCGGCATCGGGGGGCGGTGTTCCTGGCCGGTGAGCTCGGGCTGGTCGCCTCGACCGTGGGTCGGGTCCTGGCTCGTCACCGGGTCCCGGCGCTGGCCAGTATCGACCCGATCACCGGGCTGGCGGTGCGGCGGCACCGCGGTGGGCCGCGCTACGAGCGCCGCCGGCCCGGCGAGCTGCTCCACGTCGATGTGAAGAAGCTCGGTCGGGTCCCCGACGGTGGTGGGTGGCGTCTGCACGGGCGCAGCGAGGCGGTCCGCGGTCGCGGGATCGGCTACGACTTCTTGCACGTCGCGGTCGACGATCACTCTCGGCTGGCCTACATCGAAGCGCTGCCCGACGAGCGCGACCTGACCTGCGCGGGGTTCCTGCACCGCGCCGCGACCTGGTTCCACACCCGCGGAGTTCGCGTCGAGCGGGTGTTGACCGACAACGCCCTGACCTACCGCCAGGGGCGGAACTGGCGCGCGGTCTGCGTCGGGCTGGGCATCCGGCGCCGGTTCATCAAACCCGGCTGCCCCTGGACGAACGGGAAGGCCGAGCGGCTCAACCGCACCCTGCTCACCGAGTTCGCCTACGCCCGCCCCTGGACCAGCAACCACCAGCGGCTGACCGCCCTCGACAGCTGGGTCACCGACTACAACACTCGCCGGGCCCACTCCGCACTCGGCGGCCAGCCACCCGTCACCCGACTCGCCAGCTAACAACGTGTCGGGTCATGAC